CTGAATCCTTTTATGGTGAATGCTAATAAGCAAGAAAGCAGTACTGAATACAAGAAGAATATAGATGTATGGTACATTTGAAAAAGGAATTTTCAATAAAAACAGATGGCCTTCCAGAGTTGCCTTATATTTTGTTTTCACTTTCCAAATACATAGCTTGTTCTATTACAACTGAAAAATATATTATAATGTATTAAGTCAAGAAAGCATTTCAGTAGAGCATGTTCAAATTTCTACTCAAAATCGCCTCCGTTTGAGGAGGGAATTTGGGGCATTGCTGAGACGTTGCTCTAAATCTCTAATAGTGTTACGGAGAATTTCAATTTCTTTGTTCTTTTCCTCTTGGAGATGCTGAAGTTTCTATGGAAATATAAGGAAATATTTTGGTAATTAAAGATTAGAACTGAAATACAGCATGGGTGAATCCACACAACATGCGTTACTAATGACAGTTATTCTAAGGATAATGCTGAGAACATAATTTTACAAAGATAATTCTCACAAAATCTCCTTTGTCAGCCTAATGACCCTAATCTATAAAAGCACGTGCAGATGTTTAACTGTAAGCACACAATACTGCCTTTGATGTTAATAGGACTATTCAAGGTAAAGTTAAGCACGTGCCTAAATGTTTTGCTGACACGTGCCTAAATGTTTTGCCTCAGCCCTATCCCCCAAACTCCATAAAGTGGTGCAAGAAGGAGACCATGGTAACTGTGATAGCCTCATAGTTTTCCACTGGAAGGAACATGATCAGAATGAAAGCTACAAGGCCATTGAGATAAAGCTGAATGGTGGGCATTGTTGGCAACGTGATAGCTCTAGAGAGGAATATTTTGGGCTTGAATCCAAACCCTATTAAAGTTAATTGAAAAATAGTCAGCAAGCTACAGTAGGCTTTGGATCAGGGTCCGGGGAGGGGGAGGGGAATGCACATATCATCAAATGTACTGATAGTTTTCTGTGATGCTGGTGGTTTGGTCAGAGGAAATTATGCCTCTCTCTTGTGCTTTCACTGAACACAATGGGTTTGTACAGGTGCAACTGATGACAGAAGCGTTAGTGCTAAGGATGACATGAGCTTCACTTTCAAATACATATTCAATAGGAAGTGATGGTGGTTAGAAAAAACACAGTTTCACATGGTAAACAAGCAACATGGTTAGGAGCCATAGTGGCACAACAAATAAGGAGCGGCACATTGTCCTTTGTAGAAATTCACTTTTCAACACAAGTTGCAATTTAAAACATTGCATATCATACAGAAATACCAGCAAGATACTCTGTATAAACACATTGTAGCAACAGCATTTGTGATCTATAGACATTTTTAGGAAAAAGCTATTAAAACACATACCCTTCTGTAGATGTTTTGAGGCAAGACTGCAGAATCAGGATATGATTTTGTTATTTTATTCTGAACTCTTGCGAATTTATCATTGAACTAAAAGGAAAGGACACAAATCCCTAATATTTACACTGACCGAACAGAAGAAAACATTATTTTAATAAAATAGACATTATCTCCACAATTTTTTGCATATATTTTGTACCTTAAATTAAAACTGGCTAAGATCCCAGTTCTAGTATTCTATGATCTAATTACTCAATTTAAAACAAATTAAATTTAACAAGATTACAAGTTGCCAATGTCCCTTTAAAAATATTGGCCAAGTGCCTTGATTTTGATGGTTCAAAGAGACTGTAATGTTTGTTTGCCAACCAGCTGAGGAGTTTTCCCAACTGGGGGAGTATGTCTGGGCAAAAGAAGTCTTAGCGAGATAGCCATGTTAGTCTGTGACTTTAAACCAATGAGTAGTCCTGTGGCAGCTTAGGGTACATCTACACTGCATGCATATTGCAAAATAAGCTATTCTGGAAGAAATATTCTAAAATAGCTTATTTGAAACCTCAAAATGAGTCTGAGGAGGCTTCCCTAATGTAGACGTGTTACCTTGATTTAGAGCCCCAGGTTGAATAACTTAGGGAGGGGGGATGGGGATATTTTGAAATAGCAGAAGTGGAGCATGTACACGCGCCTCATTTTGAAATAGCTATTTCAGAATAGGCATTTTTCTGCGTACAGTGAGGTCTACAGAAGTTGGAATTAGCCATCCGTTATTTCAGAATTACTTCAAAATAACGGAATTGCTGTGTAGACGCTTGCATTGTTATTTTGGAATAAAGGCCATTATTCCAAAATATTGCTACTGTGTAGATGCACCCTTAAAGACTAACAAATATATGAAATCATGTGCTTTTGTGGGTAAGACCCACTTCATTAGATGAGTATTTTTGCTATTCTCTAACCATTGGTCTACATTAAGAGATAAGTTCGAATTAAGATTCATAACTTCAGCTATGTTAATTACATAACTTAAGTTGAAGTATCTTAAGTCAAATTTTGGAGCAATCCACACTATGGGAGAAAGGAGCACACTCCCTTCAACTTCCAAAGTTTCAGAGGGTAGCCATGTTAGTCCTGAAGTACCTTGGGGTATGTCTACACTACAAAGTTAATTCGAACTAACGGAGGTTAGTTCGAATTAACTTTGATAGGTGCTACACTAGCGCTCCCCTAGTTCGAACTTAATTCGAACTAGCGGAGCGCTTAGTTCGAACTAGGTAAACCTCATTGTACGAGGACTAAGCCTAGTTCGAACTTACTAGTTCGAATTAAGGAGTGTGTAGCCCCTTAATTCGAACTAGTGGGAGGCTAGCCCTCCCCAGCTTTCCCTGGTGGCCCCTCTGGCCAACACCAGGGAAACTCATATGCTCCCCTCCCGGCCCCGGAGCCCTTAAAAGGGCACGGGCTGGCTACGGTGCCCTTACCAGGTGCAAACCTGCCAGCACCCAGCTAGCAGACCCTGCACCTGGGACGGCTCAAGCCAGCCACCAGAT